GTTCATCTTAGTCCCTTTATCTTTTTTATTACGTCCTTCCATAGAATGCTCATCTTCGAGCGCTTCATATCCGCCCGAGAGAGGATGAAATCAAAGTCTACTTCGAATAATACCACAAGTTTCACAGGGACCTCCTGACCCCTGAAATAAACATTGGTAATTGTCCATCTTGAAAACTCTCGACGTTATCTATCGTAGCCACGTACCTGAATGGCTGTCTCATGATGATAATGTGTTCACCCAGAAGCTCTGTAACACGATTCGTCCTTACAGTATTGGTCAAACTTTATGTAGTCTGCTTACAGGAAGCTGGCAAGGGCTCAAAGGCACTCACAAACTATCGCCTGTAATCAGACACAATTGATCGCAGAGTGGCACTCCAGGTAAAGAAAGACTTGCCAATTACATATGAGTGCCACTTCTCTCCGAAAATTGCCTCGAAAATGCTCACCATATGGCCAGCAAAGAAAGGGCATCCCAAAGTAGTTATTTGTAATGTATACAGCCCACCTCTGGTGCACTCGGTGGACCGGTCTCAATACACTAATACGCACACTTATTAACAACATAACTGACTAAGATCGCTTATTCTTCTTTGGTGACTTCAACGGGCGGAGCACTACCTATAGCTATATAGTATATCGTCCGAAAAAGACCAAGCTGTTGGAGGCAACCGAACACTTCAATTTGGAGTTGCTTACCCCACCCCCGAATATGCCAACCCGACTGAGAAATACCGTTTCAGGGGACACCACACCTGACCTTGCATTTACCAACAACATGCGGTAGGTGCAATGAAATAACCTCGAATAAATCCTTAGAAGTGACCATTACATAACGCAAAATCAATGCAGTTCCCCCGCTTTAAACGGCCACTGGGGAAAACGAAGTTAACAAACTGAAAAAAAAAATGCCGCGAAGCGCATGGGAACAGACTCCACGAACCCGTCATAGCACTAGAGAGGGGAGAACACATCACTGAAACTCATGCTCAATTTACCAAGACAGACTGACAGTGGACAATCACCTAGCGCACATGTGGGAGGCTCGACGGGTACTTGTTAAACGCTGGAAACGCCAACAAGTTCATCGCAAACTGAAGCAGCGGATCTGCGAGCTAACTGATGAATCCAACTCCTATGTTGCAGAGCTCACGCAGCAATTGGGTAACTTTCTTTGATTCGCTCAAATGCACTTTAGGAATAAAAAAAAAACTTGCGTTATCTTGCGCGGAATGACAGATCCTTCAAGCACGATAACAAAAACGACAAATACAATAACAAAACTAGCCACTGAATATAACAGGAGCACCGACCAACTTCTCCACGAGCTTACATAAAGTTATATTAGCAGTGCCAGGCCTTCGACCACGAGCAATGTAGCTTTACGACAATGCACGGTGTCCCCAAATTTCATTCTAGACGCTCCAATCAGGGTCGAGGAGCTCTATTCAGCCACTCAGAAATTTCAAAGAAATGCCTTCCTGAGCTTTGCTGGTGTCACCAATGCCGTGATAAAGAATCTTGACAGAGGAACACTACAAAATCTCACAGACTACTTTAACAGCGTAGTTTGGACGCCAGAAGGACAACTACCTGCACCATGGACAAAGGCAAATATAGTTCTTATACCCGAACCAGGCAAACTTAAAACACTAAATAACCTTCGTTCTATTTCATTGACTTCGTGTCTAGGTAAGCTGTTCGCAAAAGTGCTGCTGCAGCGACTTGAAACACATGTTGAGGAACAGCACCTCATGCCATATATGATCCGCAGAGGGGTCTCGGCACAATAAATCTTTCTTATACCCAAGGAATAACTATTGAATAACTATGGGCAGTCTTGACAACATAGTCTTGAATTAGATGTGCACAAAGCGTTTGACACTATCTCTCACGAAACGATATAGCAAGGATTGGAAGATATTGTATGTGGCCAACGTATTCACCACTATGTTCAAACATTGCTGCACAATCGCACTGCAACTCTCGCATTGGGTTCACTCAAATCTAACCCCTTCAGTATTCTCAATTGAGGCACACCACAAGGCACTCTATTGTCTCCCTTTCTTTTTAACGTTAGGCAACGCAAGCTGGCCATAATGCTAACTCATGAACCCCGCCTTAGATTTGCAATGTATGCAGACGATATAACCCTTTGGATCACCCAAAGGTCTTACGGAGAGTGCCAGAATACCCTGCAAACTACCTTGAGTATAGTGGAAGACTACCTAAAAAACGCCAGGATGCAGTGCGCACCGGCGAAGTCACAATACATTCACATACGTCAATATACGTTGCGGTGTTGCCGAGTAGTTGAGCTAACCTTCTACTTGGGAGGATCGCCACTCAGAAGAATTAGCATCCTTCGAATACTCGCCAAGTACATTCAGGAAACAACAAGCGTCAAGGTTGCATTAGATAAGCTGAAGCATACAGTAAAAAAGCCGGACGGAACTCATTAGAAGAATCTCGAAAGAAAGTAACACCATGACTGAGCACGACACGCTAAAGCTTGTGCGAGCACTTGTTCTGAGTCGGCTTACTTGTGCTCTCCCTTACCAGACAACCCGGAAAATAGAGCAATAGCAAGCCGACATATTAATTCGACTTGCGACTAAAGCAGCCCTTGAACTACCTACCAGTATGAGCACACAACACCTGCTGGAATTAGGTGTGCCTAATACTTTCGAGGAGCTGGCCGCTTTCACACTCATCACCCAGCGAGAATGACTCTGCGGCACAACACAAGGGATATTTTTCTTGCAGACTTGGATATCCTATCTCGCCACAATATTGTTGTGACCACCAACCTACTCTCGCCATATCTCAGACAGCGCACCATGACGCAGCCCATTCCTCGCAATGTGCATCTAAACCACCATATTGGACGCCGAAAAGCTCGAGTACAGAGGCTACAGCGGCTGAAAAATCGTCCTGACGTTTATTATACAGACGTCGGTCCCTACCTTAAGCAGCAGGGGCAATCTCATGCTTTCACTCTCGCTGTAGTCAACCGGGGCAAACTTCTCCATTCTTCCTTCATACGTGCCTCTTCCTCCGGGTCAGCCGAGGCAACTGCAATCACTCTCGCCATTCGATTGGAAGACAAACAGAGTACCTCTGCTTACATTGTCTCAGACTCTCAGACAGCTTGTCGCATGTACCTCAAGGGCATATTACCTACAAAGGCCATCCAGCTGTTGTGGAAACGAACTCTTCTTTAACAATGGGTTAGTCTGGGGTCCGGCCCATACGGGCTAGGATGACAATGAAGTTGTTATTGCCAAGCTCGAGTACTCAGCAGCCGAGCCCCACTACCACCCGCTGCTGAAGAGGATACAAATGAAGGAGTGACATGGCGTGGAGTCTTAGAGAAACAATGATTAGATCGCCGAATCAAGGCCCCTCCCTATAAGGACCTTAATAGACATCAAGCTTGGGACTGGCGCCACCTGCAGACTAATACATTCCTAAATCTGCACAAGCTTCATATGATGTACCTGGCATGATGCCCGTAGTGCGGAGATATTCCTACACTAACACGTATTACTTACAGCTGTCCAGAGCGACCTGTCACAGTCGACATAGGACTTACGCTACCAATACATTCGTGGTCGTGGGAGGTGTGACTCGCTGAACTGACCCTGGGAAGCCAACTAGCGACCTTTGATCAGGCCTGCCGAGGCGCTATAATCAATGGAGTCTTAAAAGAAGGGCCCCACTCCTGATGAGCAACTTTTTTTCATTATTAATAAATGTTGTTTCTCTCTCTCTTCTATAGGGCTAACAGACGCTCGTGTATCAACAATTGCTGGTATTTTTTTGTTCTTTACAAGCACTAGAGCGTACAGAATGTATGTCCGTGCAATAAACACAATCAAGACTAAACTCATCACTCTGGTATAGTTTAGTCTTGATTTTCCCGCTTGTGTCACATTCCTCAAAGTTTCTTATGGTTCTCGTATCTCCACGCGTGTCTTTCACAACACTTTTTATTATGTAAAGCTCTTCCGAAAAATGCGCTGACATTACTTCTATTTGTTGTCAGCATTCTTTCATCACTCCAAATATTACTAGAGATACCCAGGACGACTCTTGAAGAGTAAGCTCTGTGAGTTGAAGCAGGACGGCACTTATAAAGAACTAATCTAATATTCTTCGTTTATTCTGCGTATATGCTAGTGCTTCATCCCACAACTTCAGCGCATTACGTTAGAACGCAGGGCGAAAACTAGTTTTCCATGCACAACACGACTCTTCTTTTTCTACACTACAAATATCAAACCATTATTTTGGTGTTTTCAGTTATGTATTTTCTCATATAAACACATGGTGTAGATCTTAGAGGCAAGCAGTTCTTTCGCTGTCGTATTTATATAGCGCTCAAGCCATGCATCAACACAAGATGGAATGCCACCCAACTCTACCGGAGAAATTAGGGCTTGACGTCTACAGCAGACTGCAAGGGTACTCAAAAAAACGTTTTGGCGTTGGCTTTGTGGGCTTTGGAATTCAACAAGTTGACACAGTGCATTTGCTAATGTCGGTGGGGACAAAGCGCGTTTGAGGTGAATCTAGAATGATTCTGATCTTTACTAGTCTGGTAACTTAGCTCCATCATATTCGTAATAATGGTCACGGTACCTATAACGACGATGTTGTTTATTGGGGCGTTTGCTTTGGCAACAAATAGCTCCTAGTAGAGCCGTAGTTATTGCCTTCTGTCGCGTCAACACGAAGGCTTCTCCATCTAGTTCTTAGCCCGGGACGACAGGTTGACCGTCTAGCTGCACCACATTTAAGGAGACCCACATCTTGTTCTTACTCGACTGTGCCAAATGTAAAAGCGTATGAAAGCAGTGTGCCTTCGATAGTTTATTGAGGCTACCTGATTGCCATCTTTTCTTCTTCCTTCTCTTCTCCTTTGTTCCCTGCTGTCTTACTGTCCTCTTATCTTCCTCTTTGCCGCTATTTGGTTTTGGCTTGGTCAAGAGTACGGAACACCATACCGCATCTGCCCCAAGCCAAGAAAAGCCTTCATTTACAAGTGAGTCATCCTGATTTTCAGCCATGTTTGTGATTCTTGTTATCTCTGACTGGCGATAGACGATGCGCTCTTCAGCTATCTCAACCGTGGCTTCCACGCTTCATGAATCTATCATGGATCCCTGCATTAACTGCGGCCTCACCACCGGCTTGTTTCTCCAGGACAACCTGAAGTTCTTGCGAGGCCTCGCGAGAACTTTTCTGAAGTTTTTGCTCACATAAACACATGATTTATTTGCATATTTACACAGGTATAGACATCTAAATGACCGCATGGGCGCAATTTCACCGCGACCGCGACAAACGACAGTGACGAGCGACAAGATTTGATGTCGCGAAGGCCCATCCGTTGCCGCCAATCGTCTCATCGTGCCATTCTGGAAAAATAGAAAAGATCGCTTGTCACCCGGAAGCCAGCGTGGTGATTTCCGAAAACATGGCTGCTGCCATAGTCCTCGCTTGGGTTACAATTTACTCTCGATGCTTGTTATCCGCGCATGCTTCAAGGGATGCAAGGTATCTACTACCTATTTAGCATTTTTATCTCACGCGGAGAGTGAGAGAGCGGTTGTATTTCGTCCTAAATCTCGTTATTGAAGGTTTGTTTTGATGTCTCGACAGAAGCTTGTGGAAACATTGTTGCTTGCTACATTGCGAAATCTCTTCGTACGAAGTGCGTAGTAGCCATCGTAGCGTACGCTTCTGGGCAGCATGTCGTGGTTAAACCAAAGATTGCGAATAAAGAAGGCCGTGAAATGCGTTTGTGGCTTTTTTATGTCATACGAGACGGCAATAAATATGGCATGTTGTGACCGACCAAATTTTAAACATATATTCGCAATTTTCGAGTATGTACGCGATAGATTTATTCAAACAACAATGATACTTTGTCGCTCACGTGCGGTTGCAGCCGTCACGACACGGCGGCGCGACGAAGCAAGTTTTTCGCTGCCACTTGTCGCTGTCGCTACGAATTCGCGTGCATGCGGTTAAGGCATCACGAAGGTCAGAGAGAAGCGCCGAGCAAACACGCGTAAATTTTCCATGCACAACACAGAACAAACACGCGTAAAGTTTTCGTAAATGGAACACTAAAAAAAGCTGGCCCATCGTTCTCGTGCCTTCCCGTGCAGGTAACCGTGAAAGCTTGCTGGGGCACCATTTTTATTTTTTTCATGGCAACAGTTAGCGCACGCACCAGCAAAAACACACCTGCAGCTTTGGTAGGAGCAGCAGCGTTTGCCTACTTCGCGAAACTAAACGCCCGACGACAGTGGCACTGCATTTTCCTGCCTTATGTACAGTGGAATTCTGCTATATACAGAAGCCGCTATCTTTGTCCTAAGTTACCCTGACTTTTTCTGCATAAGCATCTAATTTAGGTCACCTCTATATTGCCGATGCTGCTTATGTTTACAGGGTGGAATTAACGGCCAATTCATCTTGCATTTCAGTCGAGTGCTATTAGATTTTGAAGACTTTCTTCACTCAATGTGATCCAAGTCTCCTTTCAGCCGAAGCGCACACGCGAAAGCGCAGTGAAAAACGGCCACGTGACGCAAGTGCGCGTTCGAACGGCTCCGGCAATCTGAGCAGCGTGCCATAAAACGGGTATTAGCCGTTTTGATGGCAGCCGCACCCTTCATCACGTTTATACGAGCCGGCGTACTATCCGGCTTGCGCCGAAGTGCTCCCCATTGTCGGCCTCGAGCTGAACACTGCAGTGAAAACACGGCCTGCTTCCTCCGGATCTTCTCTCTCCTGAAGCAATAGAGCGGAATTAACTTACAGTCTAAGCTGAACGCCTACGCCACTGAAAGCTATACTGACAAATTATAGCACGTTTGTTTACAACAATTTTGTAGCTTTCCTTCTTTGAGTTTCTAGCTGTGAGGGTAAGATGGAATCTTGGAGACATGTCGCTGCTGGAGCGAACTTACGAGAAAGTGGTCTTTCTTTCTACCTCAGTGCCTGTACTGGCATACAGTTGGTGTGTCACGTGGTGGGACACGTGCGGGACACGCACATGGAGGCAGACTGGGGAGCACACTGTGAACTCACTCCTGCTCTGGTCGAACTTAAAAAGCTCATCATCGCATTCACACCAAAACTTTAATGCGCCAACCAAAATGCTTTTCAATCAAAATGGCCGATCTCTTCGTCTTAGGAATCGGTATAACACGAACATGAAGCGTGTATTCAAACACGTCGCACTTTTTGTGCAGAGAATATTGGAGTTTGTACAGTCTCTATTGCTGTTTGTCATTGTTTATCCTTCGTGCACTAATCCTGAAGCTTAGTGACACATCATGGCGACGACGAACGCCCATGATTACTGTTTGACCACAGTGGCACCTGAAGTTGTGAACATCTACCTTGACCCGGCATATCGTAAATCCCACGGCACAAAGCCGTCATCAACTGGCAGTTCATAAAGGCTTGTACTCATTATGCACTTTTTCGAAAAGTTTGCTCTCAAGGATAAAAGCGGCTTCTGTGCGCACCCCACACATGTGCTCAGGCCAAGGTTGCCACTGGTGGCTACTTTTCACCAAATCTTTGAACTTGAGAGGCCGTGGCAACGTATAATGATGGATGGCGAATGTTTGGCGATTTTCGGCTTACGTCTTCACTGAGTTACGCATTGTATACACCGTGTCTTCGAAAGAATGGACGATAACATCATTGCTATGTTTCCTAGTTTTAGACCCCCGTATACGACGCAATTTACGCACACTTTACATTGAGGAGCTAGGAGGAGAGTGCGAGATAATTATACTAGGAGGTATGAATGCGCACATAGAAGATATAGATGAATATACTGAACCAACAGGCAAAATGACCATGGATATGTGTGAGAGGCATAATTTGATCATTTGCAACAGTACTGAGAAGTGTGAAGGGCAAATAACATGGGAGGTAGAAAGGCTACAGTCGACGATAGATTACGCAGTGATGTCACATAGCATGTATGATAAGTTCAGGGGAATGCACATAAATGAGGGTGGCTTCAGAAGTCTTCGTAGTGATCTCAAACGTATCAAGCTAAGTTTTGGAAGAGCAGGGAAAGTGTGAAGGACACAAGATGAGCAACTACAGAAAAAATTTTATTCAGAAAGGCAAATAGAAATAGCTATAAACAAATTGAGAACGTAATCACTGAGGATAATAAAACAGTGTGGACATACACAAATTTAGTTAAACTGTTTGAGCTAGAGCTTTCTAAGGCACGTGACAAGTCACACCGGGAAACAGGACACGAACCCAAGAGTTAGCGGGATGAGGAAGTTAAGAGAGCCATAGCAAAACGTCAGGAAGCCTCTAGGGAACACAGACATGCTAAGCAGTGAGGTGAACCGACAGATGATGTTGAAAAAAAGGAAATCTTTCTAAGCTGTGGAGGGGATGCATCCATTTTGATCAATGAAAAGATTTGAAGAAAGGGAGCTCATTGGCTGGCAGAAGTACATGAAAAAGATAGAAAGGCAGCTGCAAAATTTTGGAACCGTCTAAACTCCCTAAGAAATGAGATAAGCCTAGAGCAGACGTTTATAACTAAAGCCCAAGGTGTTAGGCTGGAAAGGGACGAAGCTATTGAATATATAAAAGAAGGGTGAAAGAAAAATTTCAACAAAGAAGTGTTTTATGCACCACAATAGCCAAAGATGAATCAAGTGCCACAATGGTTCCATTTTCACAACGAGAGTGGGAAGGGGCTGAAAAGAGGGTTCCTAGTATCACAACAACTGGCCCAGATGGCATTCCAGTTATGCTGATAAAGACATTGGGTCCTAATTCTAAGTAGGCTTTAAAAGAGGCAGTGAGGAAAATAATAATAGAGGAAGTCCGTGATGAATAGAGACTTAGCCGGACAAGCATGATCTCTAAAGGCAGGAAGAAAAAGCTGACATAAACAGCTACCGTCCTATAACAGTGACGTCAGTGGTCTACAGGCTGGCGATGCAGATTATAAAGGAAAGACTGCAGGCATGGATAGAAGATGAGGGGGTGCTGGGGGAACTGCAGAATGGGTTTCGGAAACACAGGAGGTTGGAAGACAATCTGTTCTCACTTATGTAGTGCATCGAAATAGCAGAAAAAGAACACAGGCCCCTGTGGCTAACATTTTGGATATCAAGGGAGCGTATGATGGCGTGGTTCAAGAGGACTCGCGAGAAATACTGAACAAACTATATGTGGACGATGGAGTCACTAATATTTTAAAGGATATATATAAAAGTAACAATGTAGTTATGAGGTGAGAAAAACATGTATCCAAGCCTGCAGAGGTAAAACGTGGACTTAGGCAGGGGTGTCCTCTGTCACCCTTGATGTTCATGTTGTACCTACAAAGATTAGAGGCCAAATTAGAGGGAAGGGGACTGGGCTTCAACCTCTCTTTAGTCAAACAAGGAAAACTCATTGAGCAGGCACTACCAGCCTTGATGTACGCAGATGATATATTGCTATTGGCCGACAACAAGGAAGATTTGCAGAGATTGATAGACATCTGCGGTAATAAGAGAGATAGGTCAGATTTCTGATTCAGTAAAGAAATATCAACAGTCATGATTTTTAAAAATAATGAAGGTGGTTAGCTTAGAATACAGCTCACGCTAGAGATAACGGATAAATACAATTATCTAGGCGCATGGATAAGCAATGGGGCCGAGTACGTAAGAAGCACGAAATATACAGGATGACTAAAGGTAACAGGAATGCAGCGCTGATGAAAAGGAGGGCACTGTGGAATTACAATAGGTATGATGTTGTGAGAGGAATATGGAAAGGGGTCATGGTTCCTGGTCTGATGTTCGGCAATGCGGTCTTGTGCATGAGATCAGAAGTTCAATCGAGATTAGAAACTAGGCATACGTGGAATAGGTAGGCTTGCCAAAGGAGCTCATCGGAATATACCAAACCAGGGAGTACAAAGTGATATGGGATGTGCATCATTTGAGGGCAGGGAAGCTAGCAGCAAGAAAAAATTTGAGATGGGAT